AGATGCATTATGTAAAGGTACAATTCCCAATGAGAAATGTAATTGTGTTGTATACCTACAATGTACCAATAAAAGAATTTAATATAAAAAAAATAGTAGTGCTCTATGTTCTATGTCCAAAAATTCATCACCACAAAAAATCATAATTATAATTTTATATGTAAATCCCATTAAATCGCAAACAATCACCTATTTCTTATCACATATTAATGTCTCTTTCTCTCATAAATTGTTGTGTGATTGGGGAATTCTTGAGCAGGGAAAAGTAATTTATCCACCTGTCAGACCAAAAGAGTAATCTAGTACCTCAGGAAACAAAAGATGGATTAAAATGTCTGCCTCTGTGGGTTTAATTCGGCCTTGTCTCAAAGTCAGAACTCAAATGGATCTCTCAATTTCTTATACAAACAAAAATGCGCTTGTTTAATTTTTTTTAAAGGGATAATTAACCCAATAGCTCTGTCTTGTTTTTCTTTTAAACTTGAACATAAATTGAAAACTACTTTTCTGTCTGTGTTTTTAGTACCACTCTGATCATTTACTCTTAAAGCCAACTTACATTTAGGGAATAAACATTACTCCTAATACTGCACTCACAAACATATCTTTTATTTGCATGGAACTATGTATATTTTAGAAGATATTTCAACATCTCATGGAAAAAAGCATGATGTTTTAGTGGGCCAAAGAGGTCTTTAAAGCCAAACAGATCTAGATTCAAATCCCAGTCATACACTGAATTTTACTTTCATCAATCCATACAATTAAAATAAGAACATTTACCTCCAAAGATTTAGAAAAGTGCATTAGTTTTCTGCTGCTGCTGAAAGGAATGACCACAAATTTAGTGGCTTAGAACAAAACCTCATTATCTCAGTTTCTGTGGGCCAGAAAATCCAAGCCCAGCATGACTGTGACTTGACTAAACTCCTGGTAGGATCGGTCAAGACCACACTTGAGGTATCAGTAGAGCTGTGTTCCCCTCTGGAGGACTGGGAGGAAAATGGCTGTCACAGCTGCTGGCAGAGTTCATGTGTGGGGTAAGGTCCCTGTCTCCTTCCCAGCTGTAAGTGGCAGCAGTCCCTTAGCTCCCAGAGGTCAGTGGTCCCTACAGAGTCCCTACATCTCAGAACCAGCAAGGACATGATGATTTCTTACCCCGGGAGTCTCTCTGACTTCCACTTCTGACTCTAGACAGAGAAAACTGCTTCCAAGGGCTCATGTAGTTATATTCAGCCCACCTATCCAGTCCAGGATATTCTATTTTAAAGTCTCAAAACTTATTCCTAAAGTCCCTTTTGCCATTGGATAGAGTAACAATGCATATGTGTAATCCATGGATTAAAGGCTGGAGGCTAAACCTCAATAAGTTAATTAAGAGCAATGTTTTTTCTGAGGCACTAAGAGCATCTTAAACACAGTAAACGCTGGATTAATTCCTGCTATGTTAATGAAGAAGACAATAATGTTTGGTTGGGTTTCATATCTTCTGGACCTCAGTTTCCTTTGTTGTAATCTAACAATTGTATACCTACCACACCTTTGGTTGTTCGGGGATGAAGTAGGATAATGTATTTATTCTTCTTTTTCATTTTAGGTTTAACACGAAGCTTTCCTATAGACAAGCTCGATGACTATGACCCTTGAAGATGACTCCAGTCCTCTAGTCCAGCTGTGTTCATTATGTAACTAATGTTTGATTCTCTTTCCTAATGCTTCTGAAGTCATGTTAGCTATTCTGATTTTTCATAATCTGTTCTTTTGTCTCTTGGTCGCCATCTCAATTTCAGTCCAAAGGATGCACTCAGAGCAAAGGGGACATGGGGAATTTTTGAGGTACTATTAGACTGGTCTTCAGTTATTATAAGGTCTTCGATGTGTGCAGAGGTGTGGCTTTAATTCCTGTCAACCAGATAAGTCCAAGGGGGAAAAGTTTGCAAGGGAACATTGAGAAAGAGCTTTATTGTTTTGTAAGGGACAACCTTCCCAGTGGTACTTTTCCCAGGAATGATTCTTTGTCACCCAAAACCATGGGAGGAAGATAAATAATACCTCCCAGTGTGTTGACAGTAACTTCATAGATCAGAAAAGGCTGTGGAAATAGGTCAGACCAAAAATATATAGTGGTAAGTACTGGCTGTGATGCTAGACTTCCCAGTGTTTGCCAACTGAGGAATGCAGCCAATCAAGCCAGGGTGGTCACCAGGACCAAAAAGGGAAATGCAAACACTGTGGTTATTGTCATTGTGGTTACACTGCAAAGGGGTCCCTCAGAGGAGCAAGAAGCTATAGACTCTGTCCTGTAGAGCAATGGTGTTCATACACTTTTTACTCTGAATTACAGAAATACATTTTACATATACACCCAATGCATACACCAAGAGTGTGTGCACATACAGATATGGATATAAAATGGCAACATTTTTCAAAATAACTTATACTCACTACTGTGATTCTTTAAAAAAAAAAACCATTAAATTAGTTCCATGACCTAGTAATGCTCTGAGATCTATAATCTGAATAAGATGTTTTGGGGCTGGGGATTTAGCTCAATGGTTTCGCCGCCTGCTGCACAAGCACAAGGACCCGAGTTCGATCCCCGGTACAGAAAAAAAAAAAAAGATGTTTTAAAAGATGTCTAGATGTCTAGATGCCTTGAGAGTAGTCACTTACGGTATGGCAAAAAAGAAAAGGAAAATACGAAAATCAATTTTAGAATAAACACAGGTAGAGATCAGAAGAAATTATATAAACAGACAGAAACAGCTAAAGATGTAAAGCATTTATTTTTCAATGCAGATAAAATGCTTATTTTGTGATAATCTAGCCAAAGGCTAGATTAAGAATATATAAAACCAGAAGAAAACTACAAGGTAATAGAGGAAAAATAGAGGCAAGCCTAGAATTCCTTACAGTCTGTAGTTTGCAGCTGAAAATCTTCATTACACAGAAGTATTGATGCTATACAACCAGATGCTTATTAAACACACACACACACACACACACACACATACACAATTCCACACCATCATATTATATGTACCCAAGTTTGTTGTTCAAAAACTGTTTACAAGTATTTAGGTAGTAACCAGCTATTTTTTGTTTTCCTAGTAAAAGAGCTAAAAATAGTTCAGAAATTTTAAAGCAAACATGACTGGTTCAGGTGGACCCTAACAGCCATTCAGCATTAATGCAGTCTGGGACTTATTATTTTCAAGTAACTAGATCATACAAAATAAAAATCAACAGAAAGCATTCCTAGTAGGCCAAGTGGCCAAGCCAACTACATAGAATTCCGTAACATTACCAATGAAATGGCCTGCGGCCTCCTTATTTTGCAGGTGAGGGGACACTAATGCTCGCTACAATTAACTGAGAGTTGAGAGTGACAGAGGAAGGACCACAGATCCTTTCAGACTGTGGACAGGTGAGCCTTCTACAATTTCCAGCTGCCTCAGATTCAATTCATTGGTCCATTAAACTGCACCAGAATCCACAAGAATCTCCACTTTCTCATCACTCTGGATGTCATCTTTCAAATGAGAAAAACTCTCTGGCTTATGCAAGTGTTAGCAGGGACTCCAAGAGTAGACTTTGGAAAAAATGATTAAAAATGGAAAATGCCTGAATCAAGAGGCAGACTGTGGCAAACTCTGAATATATGCATTCTATTCATAAACAAATCCATGTTTCTCAAACTTAAATGAGAGCTGGGAATTGTGGTACAGGCCTGTAATCTCAGCCTTCTGGGAGACTGAGCCAGGAGGATCCCAGGTTCACAAGTTCTAGCCCAGCCTGGGCAAATTAATGATTTAGGGAGACTTTGTCTCATAAGAAAAGCCCTGAGGGGGCAGGTCGCTCAATACAAAGCCCCTTGGTTCTAGCCGCAGATTCTCAGTACTGGAGAAAATAAAAAGCTTTAATGAGCACATGAATCCCATCATTTAACCGCTGATGTGGATTTGGGGGCTCCTATCAGTTTCTGATTCGGTGGGTGTGGGGTGGCATGTGGGAAGGACAAGGACATTCCACACTATTCCATCCTCACCCACACTACAGCTGTGGCTTTGTGAGTCAGCCTGGCAGTGCAGAAGCCCCCCAGGTCAAATCCCAGTGCTCGGTATCAAAGCATCAGGTGACTCTGAGGTTAATCTCTGTGTGTGTGACTCAGGACAGCACAGTCAGGCTCCACTTCTGGACTGATCCCTGCCTGTGGGACCAGAAACTCCCTCCTCTCTTCTCTTTAGTACTGCATGCTTCAGAGATGCGTCAACCACACTGTGGTTTGTGTTATCAGCCCTCACTACACCCCACCCTGAGAAGGGGCTTCAAGGCAGCGGCTGCCTTTGGAACAGGATGCTCTGAGTGCCAAGAGAGGATGCTGGAGCACTACACTGTAGGGGCTATTTGTCTAGAAGTGCAACAGTCCACATTACAGACAAATACCAGCCCAACTGCTTGGTGACAGGAAGTTCTAGCTCCATGCACACTCACAGAGAAGACCTCCCAAATCACAGTCCTATCGAGTATGACAGATTCTACCTGTTTTTCTTGAAGATGATGGAGCGAGTGGGTTTGTGGGATCGCTGGTCCTAGAACTCTTCGGGTGCTCTGTCCTAACTCCTGTGCACTGGGAGCTGACTGCTGATGGGTCCTGAGGCTGGGCTGTGCTGGCAAGTGATGTGCCTTTCTTAGCGCTAAACAGACCCTAGCACTCTCTTGTTAATCACTTTCACATCTGAGAATTTTTGTACACTACAGAGACACATTTGTTTGCCAGGTATGAATAAAGAGCCCTTTATAAACTGAGCCGCTGTCTCCAAACGCTCAGACAGAGTAAAGCTTTTCTAGGGTGTTTTAAAAGATTAGACTTTCAAGCTTGAATTGTGTGTTAATTAATACTGCATTTGAGCCCCCATCTACATATTCTGTAGTTATTGCCTGTGGCTGCCATAAATATGTCTAATTTAGCAGTTATTTAATGACACTAAATTTTCATATTTGCTGTCAGCATGGAATTCCCCTCTGGTAAATCTACTCTATTCCAATATTAAAAACAGATTTCCTTGGTTAACAAAAAAAAAAAAAAAAATAGGGCCTCTCTACTTTTAACGCACACACTCTCAGAAATTGGGATGAATTATTAATTTGTAACATCTGTGATTGGTTTGTGTTACACTGGGAAAATCCCAAGAGGGGCAGGGCAGGCTCTCTTCTTGAAAATGACTTCATATCTGAGCCCCCTGGGGACACGAGGCCAGGCACTGTGTGTCATCATGGGCTGTCCTTGATAAACTGCTGAGTGAGCTCCACAAATTGTACACGGAAACATTCCTGGTGTCGCTTACACTTAAGGACAGAATGGTCCCTGCTCCCTTCTCAGATATTAGTTTACACTTTAAATTGTGATTGACAGAAGCATGAATCTGTCAACAGTCAGTCTTGCTGGGCTCTTTAAAATTTCCTCCCACTGAATACAGCTCTACAAAAGCTTAGAGGCTAGAGGTGACTTCTTTACCATTCCCTACCTCCTGTAAATTCCATACAAAAAAAAACATTTTAGTTTCCATGAAGCTGAACCCCCAAGAAAGTGTGAGGGGTTATTTTCTCTGAATTTTAATCTCTGCAATCTGAAGAGGTTTTCATAAAATGCACAGCGTTAGAATCCAAGGTACGTGTCATAAAAGCGTTATTCACAAAAAGACTTGGCGAGGCTTGGACTACAACCAACCATCTGGGTGATGCCTAAAATGAAATGAATTTTTGAACACATTCCAATACACCGTTTCCCTCTAGATATTAAAATAGGTAAAGTGCTTCTTGAGTACAATTTCTTAAAATGTATTTTAGTGGCCTAGAGTGTTCAAGTATAGAATGTTCCAAAGTCTGATTCATAGTCCTGTCACCAAAAGCACAAACATGCCCTTTCTGTGCTCCGTTTCCTAATCATGCCTCGCTGCCGCCTTTGTACTAGAAAAGCTCTGGAAGAGACTGTGATGTTAACTGCAGAAAATCAAATGCCTGTTGAGTAAGGTAGATTAGTTTTATAAAATACACTAAAAGATAAAAATATGTAAATCAAATTTCACTTTACACATGCAAATCCAATTTCCTTTTATACATTTCTAAAAAGGCTAACCTCTCTGGTCCCTTAATTCAGGGTGAGTTGGCCTAAGATTTTTCACAATAGAAAGAGCCCTCTGGTCTGTGTATACCAGTGATCTACAATCTTTTCCTTTTTATTCATTTGCAGTGCTATATGACAACTAGATTCTGAAATCTTCTAATGAAATTTACTTTTTACTTTACAATCTCTTACCACTTCCAAGCAGTCAATGATCTTGGTTAGTTTATCTTCAGGTAAATTCTTCATCAAGGACACACTTCAAAATTAAAAAGAAATCTGAATTAAAATATAAATACATACAGATAGGTGTAGGTTCTAAAATTTTTATGTTCATTTAAAAATTACAATGCACTTAAATTTCTCCAAAATCAATCTTATTTTGCAAATGAGAAGGGGATAAAGAAAGGGGGAAGCAGTAGAGGGGAAGGGGTTGTAAAATTAATTAAGATGTGTTATTTACATCTCCCCACAAAGAATGTAATCACTATGTACTGCAAACAGATACTAATAAAAATCCAAATTTAAAAAAGTAAACCTTCAAATAACTGAAAATACATAAGTAACTGCATTTGGTACAAATTGGAAAGTATAACCTTTATCATAGGCAAATAAATGCAAATAGTACACTATTAAGAAGGGGAAATCGCATTCTATTTGGAGGAAAAATAATTTTATATTTCTTGTTGGTTTTTAAAGTGAATCACATCTGGAAATGTGTTCCTTTCCATGTTTCAATATCTCTTCTATTAGCCCAAGTGAGCAGCTCTGCTTCCAGTGAAGGGTCAGAGTTTGATCTGAATCCTTGTAATTAAGTAATGACTGAATCCAGAGGGAATGTGGGAATTGGCATTGAAATCATCTTTGATTATTAGTCATTCTGTACTATCTTTTGAAATCAATGAGAGCCAGAGGCATGTTCTAGGGACATTTTTACAGATAATAATGCACAGAAAATGAAATAGAATACTGAATTCTATTATTGTAAAAAATCAGAAATTTCAGTATGATTAACCAATCCATATGATTAAGTTGTTCTCCTAAAAAAATTTTCTCTTCTGCTGTAGCTGTTTTTATTTAGGACTACTGGTACAATTTCTGTAAGATAATTATGTCTTTTTACCATCTACAATTTATCACCGATATGGAAAAAATAATTCTACTTCAAAAATGCATGATCAGTCCTGACTTTGTAAATGCAGGGAGCTCAGTCTTGAGCTCTCTTGCACATGCGTATCAGGAGGCACGAGGTTGAGAGACATGTATAAGAATGTTTGTACCAGAATCAGTTGCAATTGCAAGACACTGGGATAAGTCCCAGTGGGATAAAGATAAATAACACAGTGATAGAGCCAGGTAACAATGCTCTATAGCAGGGGAAATGAATCTTAAATACTGAGTCAAAAATTCAGTGGCAAAAATAACATCATTGTATGAAGTTCGAAAATAGGCTAAATTGAGTTAAAGGCAAAATTTTAAATAGTACCAACAGAATGATCATCAAACTTGATACAGACTACTTCCAAGGAAAGGGGGAGCAGGAGGCTGAAAGTGCTCTTTGGGGGCCATGGGAATGTCAACATCACTGCATTTTAACTTTCTATTCTTTAGGTTCAGCTGCAGCTTCAGAGATATTTATTTTGTTAGGATTTTTCACTTAAAATTATTTTTAACTAATATATAAAAATTGTCTTATGTATGGGGTGCCACGTGATGTTTCTATACATGTATACATTGTGCAAAGACTAAATTAGGGTGAACATTTATCTCCTCAAGGATTTATTATTTCTGTATGGTAAATACAATCAAAATTCTTTTCTCTAGTTTACTAAAATGTGCATTACATTACCATTATATGTAGTCACCCGACTGCAACTGCACACAAGAATTTCTTGTTCTGTTCTACATATAACTTTAAGGAACCTTTCTCTATTCTTCCCTTCCCCTGCTCTCCCTATCCTCGTAACCACCACTCTACTCTAAACATCTATGAGACAAACTTTCTTAGATTACATGTACGAATGAGGTAATGCAGTACTTGCCTTTCTGCGCTTGGTCTATTTCACTTAGCATAATGATCTTCATTTCTAGCCATATTATTGTAACAAATGGCAGAATTTGATTCTTTCTATGGCCGAATGGTATTCCACTCTGTGTGTTTGTGTGTGTGTGTGTGTGCGCGTGTGTGTGTATACTACATTTTCTTTATCCATTCATTGGCGGATGGACACTTAAGTTGTATCCATTTCCTAACTATTTTAAGTAGTGCAGCAAGGAACATAGGAAGGCGGACACCTCTTTGACATAGTGATTTCATCTCCTTTGGATACATACCTAGTAGTGAGACTGCTGATGTTATGATCTTTTGCAATTCACATACATACTACATATCTTGTATCTTATATATTTCATATATAATGAAAAATGTAAATGGAAAAATGTTTAATGTATATTATAAACAAAGAAAAATGTATTTCCTTTTTCTATATCTCTATTGTTGAAATGGTAAAAAGGCAACCAGAATTTATCAGTGCTTAACAAAAGCTTCTTAGAAAGTTTTACTTCTGGTCAAACTTAAGTCTATAATATTAGTAAACTTGTCACACCTTGTAGAACTGGTAGGGAAACAGGTATGAGGAGAAATCTTAGTCTGCATCCCCTCTAGGAAGGCAGGGATCAGGTTTATCTCATTTTTCATGGAATTCATGATTTTTAGGCCTGTCAATATTTGTTAAATGAACTAATGAAATAACAAAAGGAAGGAAGGCATATGTACTAGTAGATTATCTAAACTCCTTCCATTTAAAACAAAATATATGCAAGCTCAAGGACCCGAGTTCAATCCCCGGTACAAAAAAAAAAAAAAAAAAAATATATATATATATATATATATATATATATATATATATATATGGCTTAAGAACAACTTACAATCTATTTTTGGACTAAACAGTGAAAGAACACATTGGTGATCAGTAGAACACCACAGGTGTTAAGGCTTCATTACAGTACAGATCCTGAGATTGTCAAAACTCTCACCAATGGCACAAAAATAATTCAAGTAATGAACTTATGCTCAAAATTTTTCTTAATTTGGAGCTTGCGGGGTTTTTTTGTTCTTTTTTTTTGTACCGGGGATTGAACTTGGGTCCTTGTGCGTGGTTTCATTAAATCCCTGGTCCCGGAGCTTGCTTTTTAAATTACACAGACATTTGTTCCTATATAAATTGCTGTAGTCAAATTGTTGAAGTACACAACATTCCATAAAATGAGTATGTCCCAAAGATCCACGTAATCATAAGTACAGTAACATTTTTGAAAAGTTAATTTGCAACAAATAATGTTAATTTAGAAGACAGTGTGGCTGTGCAAACGAGAAAAGGAATATCTCAGGTAAAATAAGGATAGTAAAATAAATTTTAATATTATTCTAAGAAAAGCATTACTAGAAGGGTTATCTGGTTGCTATCCACTTTCACTTTCAAATTCCAGATGTCTTTCAAAGACAAGTGAGCAAACCAGGTGAAATTGGGGGGATTTTTTTGCACATTTTTCTATACTACACACTATAGATCCTATCATGGCTTGTATCTAGATGTCCCCCAAAGCCTCCTGTGGTCATAGGTGGGCAGTTTTCAGAGGTGGCTGGATCTGGAGTGTGTGATGCTGGGATTAATGTTGTGATTACTAAATTAGTCCACTGGTTTGGCACAGTTCTGGGTAGGAGTAAGGGTGCCCCACTCTGGGTATGAGTGCTACCAGCCCTAAGGGTATGTAGCCTGGGTAAAATATAAGGGACAGAAAGAGGGCAAGTGTGATGGCTTGTCACTTGTTTGCTGCTTGCTGCCTTCTGCTTGACCTGCTTTGCCATGGACTGTTTCTCCTCTGCGATGTCCCTCTGCCATGCCATCCTGCCCTGGAGCCAGCTGACTATGGACTGAAACCTCTACAAACTGTGAGCCAAATAAACCTTTCCTCCTTTAATTTTGGGTGTTGCATATCGTGTTTCATCAATGAGAAAATGGTGAAAATTAATGAGAGAAATAAACCAGTACACAAAGTTAATAGTGTTTAATATAATTATATAAAAATAATTAAATATATGAGAAGTAAATAAAATTTTTGATATATTCTCTTGCAGTGGCATTTACCACAAGAGAATACTTTGGTCCCTTAGTTCAATATATTAAAAATGCTTAAATTAGAGAATCTATAAAAAATTACCATTTTGATAAAACCAACATATGCATCCTATGGCTATATAATCAGCTGTGCTCTTTGCCCACTGTGTTATCCTTACCTTCGGAGGAAGTTTCTGTACTGTTCATCTCTAGCTTGGGCTGTCCTCCTCATGATGTTCTGGAAAACTTCTCGATCTAATGCCCACGTTTTAACATTGGTAATAGCTTTAGAAAAATCAAGAAAATAATAATAAAACATTGCTTCACACCACATTAAAACAGTACTCAAAAGTGTTCATCAGTGTTACGGCTTGTATTTAGATGTCCCCACAAAGCCTCAGGTTGTCGTAAATGGGGCTTTTTGGAGATGGCTGGATCTAGAGTGTGTGCTGCGGGGATGGATTCATGGTCTGACACTAGGATTAAGATCGCCCCACCCTGAGTACTACCACCCCAAGTGTGGGTAGTCTGGATAAGATATAAGGGACAGAAAGAGGACCACTTGGGGCTCACTACTTTGCTGCTTTGTGGCTTCTGCCTGCCATGGACTGTTTCTCCTCTGTGATGCCCCTCTGCCATGCCACCCTGCCTTGGAGCCAGCTGACTGTGAACTGAAACCTCTACAAACTATGAGTCAAATAAACTTTTTCTCCTTTAACTTTGGGGGTCAAGTATTTTGTCTCACCATTGAGAAAAGTAAATAAAATAATTAGTCAACTTTCATTTCTTGGAAAATGCATTACTTAAACATGCAAATGGGAAAGAGAAGCAGCAAAATAAATGGTAACTAAGTTTATAAATTATTTTGGCTTTGAAATGTACCATGATTTGGAAGTGGGTAGCAGAAGATTGCCTTTCTAATTATGTTTTGTTTAGGATGATGTTCAAATGAGTTTGCAGTCCCTGATTATGCACAACATCATCAAGATGAATTTCAGATTCCTGCTGTAAGGTTAGAGAAAGCCAGCCAACCAGTGGCTAATCAAAGAGTGAAAAACTCTAAGCAAATAACTGGAAGTTAGATCTCTGTGTGTATGTATGTGCTTTTTAATGTGTCTTTTTATATTGTTTAGACATCGTTGCAAAAGAGATCGAATATATTTTAAGGATAGCTAGGATTACTATAGCATAAAGGCATACAAATAATTTTTAAATTATCAGAAAAAGTTTTAGGGACAAAAAAAAATTTGTAAAAAAAAGACACTGAGATCAAGGAAAAAATCCAAAAAGGAAATGGAACAGAAGTAAAAGCTCTTAAAAAACAAATCTAAATCAAATTGTGATTGTAAGACTTTTAAAAAATGTAATCAGAACTCAGAAAATAGATCAAGACCCAAAGCTCTCATTTACCCAACTTTAGAGTAAATTAGAGTCCTCTGAATATTATTGGTAAAAATAAGGACTCTAGGGCCTCATGGTCAGAGTTTTCTTCAGGTGCAGAGGGGAGGACAGAACTGCATTTTTAGCAACTACCTCAGCAATGTTAATACATGTGACACAGTTCTAAACACTGAGCAATAACACATCTCAATTATTCTGAAAAAAATCTAAGATTACCGTCAACAAAAGCAATAAAAATTGGGATTCCTAGGAGAAACAATTAAGCCAATCCTAAAGTCATTCATGAAAATGCTCATTGCTCTGATTCATATCCCTTTTGGTATGACATTCACACATTTTCACTGGTTTTATTTTATTTTTAAATGTTCTGGTTTATAACATGGTCAGAACTTCATGGAGACTGAAAGCAAACTTTCTATGAGCAGAGGCAAATGGCCATGTAGTAAAAAGTGCAGTGGCAGTTAGAGAAATAGTGGATCATTCAATTATACAGCCATTTTCATAGTGTATAGACTGGTACCTGAGATAAGAGTTCTTTGTTACTTGAATTATTTAGATAAGTGATTCCATATAAGTCCTCTCACTGCATAATATTTCTTTTATTTACTTATTTTTTATTCATTAAGTTTATTGGTACATTTTAGGTACACAATACGACGGCATTCATTATTGGGAATTTGTGCCTTTACATGATATATCTTGGTTCTTATTTTTCCCCATTCCCCTGCCCTCCCTTCTTCCATTCCACCCTTCCCTATTTACAAAGGCTTTGTTTCCATTTTTTCCTTTTCTCATATTTTTTCCTTTCCTTTCTTCCCTTTCCTCTACCCCTCCCAGTTCCCCTTCCCCTTTAGACCTTTTCTTCCTATTTCACATTATCTATTATACATTTTGATCCTTATTTACACTTTCAGTTTCTCACAGCAGAGAAACTATTTTGTATTTACACATGTGTGTTCTATTTATTTCATGTAAGAGTATGGCCTCAATGTGCATCCAGTTAGCTATAAATGTCTCTAGTTTCTCACTCTTCACGACTAAGTAGTACTCCATTTTATTTAAAAAAATGCGGCATAGTATTTCTATTAAAAAGAGCACATGGTGCAAAATAGGAAAGAGAAACTCTGGATTAGTATGCAAACCTGATGTAAGATGGCCTTAACACTGCATAACAATTCAAAAACAGAACCTGTCATCTCCTGTTACCTTTCACAGAGGCGGTCCTTGTACAGTTGTATAAAATGGCTAGTTCCCCAAATGTGGTCCACATAGGGATGGATGATAGCAACTTCTCTCCTTGGAACACCTCTAGATGACCCTCTATCAAGTAAAATTTAAGAAAAACACAAATAGTCAAAATCTACCTGGATTTCACAAATTAAAATAAAAACAAAAATATACAAAACATACAGGTAAGATATTATATAATTCTTCTTATACTATTGTGGCTAAAAGTACCGCCCCAAACCATCTCTGCCATTTACTCACCTTGAGAAGGTTACCCTCTCTGCGTGAACTTCCTCACTGATAATGGAGATAATATTTACTTCATACATTTGCCATGATAATTAAATAAGTTAATATGGGCAGAGAACATATCACAATGAGCAGGATGTAGTTAATGCTGTGTAAGTATTAGCTATGGTTAATATTACTATCATTGCAGGAAAGCTCTTCCCCATAAGTGGTGGATTGCAAGTGTTTTGTTTAAAGTTCATTCTATCCTATGAAAAATGTAGTACATGAAACTACTCCCCCTCTACTAGGAGCTCAGCAATCACACTATGTCTTGAAAAATGCAGCAGTCATAGTATGTCCTAAAAACTAGCTATTGGCTGCATGACCTGGGGAAGTTATTCTCATGGTCCTCCACTGTTATCTAACCTCTCATTCCTTAAAATGTAACACCTATCAGTTATAAAAGGAAGTTGATCACAAGAGTGACTGACACTTGCCTGTACGTAGGAGAAGACTGGAGGAAGGGAGAGGACAGCCTCAGGCAACCTTCTCACAATTCTTTTGCCTTGGCTACTCTCCTTTTCACTCCTCTCAAACAAAATCTTATCCCACCCCAATCATAAGCAAAAACATCTAGATTCTTAAAGGAAGAAAAATGTTTGGGAAAGAATTAGCTTTTCTTCCCCCTAATTCACCATTAATTAGATGGGTCCTTTCTGTCCATCCATTCATTCAACAAATCTGTTCTGAGTATCTAGATCACACCAGGATCTGTTCCAGGTGCCAGAACAACAGTAGACATCAGAGGAAAATACTTATTCTGACAGAATTTATATTCCAGTAAGGAAAAATAACACGCCTGTTTTGGTTCCAAATCCTACAGATTAGATATGCAATTTTCTCATTATAGCAAATTCTGTCCTTCAAACTCACTTGGTGGTACTGTCCATTTCATATCATGGACCTTAATGCTTTCCAAGGATTTTTTCTAATTGGTTATGGCTCATGGGACTTGACGCTGAAGAATTATATGGAATATAAAGTTTAAGCTAAATATGCTTGTGCTGTTTGCTATTCATGCAGTATTTTATAAAGGGGAGATTTTTAATTATCCAATTAATTTGCTCAGCCAGATAATTAAACCAGGCAATTCCATCCTTAGATGACACTTTAATTAATTCATATAAGAAACCATCCAATTTTCATTTTCACATGTGCCACTGCCTTGATGTCAATAGCTGCATTGATGCTGAGGTCTGTTCAACTTTTTCTCTCCCCACACCTTTCATCAGAGCTACTGGCAAGGAACAAGATGGGCTGACACAAGTGTCTCACCCTCTCCTAGCAGGTTCCATAAATATTTGTGGACTGAATGACCTGTCTCTCTTGCCAGAATGCTCTTGCCCAGCTAAAATAGATGGGAAATGGCCGAGAGAAAATTTGCAAGACTATAAAATTGAAGACCAGCTAAATTAAAACTGTAATTCACTACTTGAGTAGAATAATTACTTGGGAATGACCATTTAATTTTAAAGTTGCCTATAAAGACTATATGGCAAACAATAGACAAATAATTAGAAAACAGACATGTTTTAAGACTCAGTCTATGAAAATAATATTTTCATCTTACAAATTAAAATACACATGTCTTTTAATTTGTTTAGATAGGCAGCTTCTGCCCCACACCTAAAACCCCAAGGAAATAAGAATAAAAATATTGCTTAGATTACCAGAAACTATAATGTAAAGTAGATCATAGTACTTCTCAGGTTACCACAACATTTGAGTAAACCAGTTTAACTTTCTTTCCTAAGACTGAAAAAGTTGAGGACAATTCAGAATTGGATGAAGCATTTAACAACCTTAATCCCTGTTTAGATAATTTCTTACTTCTATAACTAAAGAAAACTTGAGTAGCTATTATAAGATCTATGCAGTTCCGAAATAAATCCTTTGTCTATATAACTGCTACACTCTTCCCAGCATACAAGCATGTTCAAGTGATAACAGGAAAAGGAAACCTTTTAAATGGTTCTAAAATTCCTGGTGTGAGTTGTAGGGTGTTCTATTTGATTTATCAATTGGTTACATGTACCTAAATCATTCTTTGAAATCACTGATATATAATCAAAATAGTTCCCAAAATTACAAAAGTAATTTTTTCCTAGTACAATTATCTGAAACTGTCAATATAAATAGCTGGATTTTGAATAGAAACAGGTTTTTTTCTTGTTAAAGAGAGTGGCACTGCGATAAAAGTATGGATTCTTAAGTCAGATTCCCTACATTTGCATTTTACTTCCACCACTTAAACTGTGTCACTTTGGATACGTTACTTAACTGCTCTGGGTTATAGTCTCCATGGAGATAATAGCCCTTGCCTTACAAGGCTGATCAAAAAAATAAAATGAGATCTCTCTACTAAGTGTTCAATGAGATTCCTATATAAAAAACAGTAAGTAGTATCATTATAATTAGATCATCAATATTGTCATTTCATGAATTTGATTTGTTACATATTTTACAGAACAAACAGTTTTGAGTTTTTATAAATGCTTACAAAAATCTCTAAGACCAGTACACATGATAACTGGAAAAATCTGTGAAACCTACCAGCCAGCACAAAAATATGATTTCCTGGCTCTCCTTGCTTAATGATGTAGCTGCCTTGCTGATAGCTTCTCCCATACATACACTCCACCATGTCTTTGATCTGCTGAGGGTCCAGTCTCTTCAGAAATTGGTTTTTATTAAGGGCATCAGTAATGAGCTTCTTCTCACTGGTGTAAAGGAAAAGAGATATTAGTTACAATTCGTGAGAACAGTGCTTTACTATTTAAATTCACTTCATTTTGATTCTTGATATTATTACCTACGCACTGACAACTTTTCTTGCAAGGCCAATTTTTTTTTCTGGTCCCACCAAACACTTCACCATTAAAACCACTATAGCTTACATAGAACAATCTTAAAAATATTTCTGAATGTTCTGTAGTATGTATCAGCATACCAATTAATTACCATTCCCAATTCCATCACATCTCTCAAAGGACTGCTGCTGGGAAATTTCTGTCTCACACAATTTCCAGGAGGAAAGCAAATCTGGTTAATAGGAAGTTTTAAGAGATCACCACACAGCATTCATTCATTGATGTATATATGCACAGTCCAAGCAACTAGTTATTTTATATCTTATTTACTCCTCACCACTACCCTAGAAGATAATTACTATTCCCATTTTATGAAGTAGAATAAAACATAACAAGCAACTGATTTATCATAGGATTTAAATATAAGTCTATAAATCTGAAGTCTGTGCTGCTCTCAACCCACCCCATCCCAACCCCTCTTCTGAGGAGGAAAGTTGGTTCCCTTGGGCACCCTGGGTGTGATCTGACACAGAGGGTTACCATGCAGTCTGGCCTAGGTTTTCCTCTAGGGATGTCTAGACTGGATAGAATCTACATTTTGAATGTCATCCCTTGTCCATAACTAAATACAAGTACTACTTGTTGACAAACCTAGGACATTCTGCTTTCTCTTGAAAAACAAGTAGCTCAAAATAGTTACTTAAAGTACCATAAAATTCAAATATTTTAAGGAACATACTTTATATGCAGAGAACACAAAGTTACTGAATTGGAAGAAAAGATGCTTTATGAACTGTCAGAACCTCTGAACAATATATTTACTGTCAGTATGATTTTCTAGAATGGCTTTTTGCTAATTTTTTACCAAATGTTCTCTGAATATTAACTTCACTGTTTGAAAATTAGTGATCTTTTTCACAGAAAATTCTCAAACACAAAGACTTCATAGCATTAGTTAACTTCCTGAATGACTCCACCATCAGACAGATCATTAGGCTGCAGGAAGGAAACAGTATGAAGCTCTGTAAAAACTTCTTCTCTGCACTGACTAATCATCCTTGGATCTATCCAAACTGGTGAATTCCTTGAGAACTTCCTTCTTGTCAATTCTCTTTACCAAATATCTCTATCATTCATTTTATTTTCCATTTTCAAGGTTATCCTCACAATCCAAGAACAAGTCATACGTCTTGACAATTTTACCTGCTTCTTTTCTAGAATGTCAGCTTCTAGCCTCCTCCTTTACAGCTCATCTTGGACCATATTATTAGATTAATCTTTCTAGAAAAAAATCAACCAAAAAAATTTCATCCTAATTTCACCCTAACCTCATTCTTCCTTTACCACTAAAATCCACAAAATATATACTGAGAATATCTTTTTGCTAGGTAATCTTCGAGGTGCAAGTGGTAAAACTGTGAACAATACCAAAAAAGCCCATGGACTTTCTGGGCTAGGTAAATAGTCCAATCAGTGTTTCCTTGATGCCCATATACTCCTATTTCCCAAAGTATGTTCCAAGAAGTACTGTTTCTTTACATGGAAAAGTGTGCTGGAAATTCATAATGCACAGTTTAAAATTACAAAGCAGTCTGTCATTAAATCTGTATAAACCAATTTATCACATCTTGATATCTTTTTGGCTTAATTTCTGTTAACCTTTAATAGAAGTACTGTGAAATTACCTTTTTTACCATATAAGAAAGTCAATATCCCATTATCTAACATTTGTCTTTTCCCACTACATAGCTCCACCTTATCCGTCCAGTACTTTCTACCTCAAAGACATTCTTTCTTACAATAGACTCACTGTATCCCTATGTCTTCCAGCTTTATCTTAAGGCTTGGAACATGTTTTCTCCTCTAACATTATTTTGTTTCTTCTTTCCTCAGCCTATTCAAATCATATGCATCCACTGAGAAACCCCTTGTGATGCTACATAGATGTTGCAGCCCGTACCATCTTTACATTCTACCCTAAATGACTATAATACTTGTATTCATGTCAATGCTACTTGACAAATGTTATCAACCATCCACTTAGGACATAAAAATTAATTTTAAAATGCTCATGATCTCAGAGATTTCCAAGATCCCATAATTTAGTTTAGTGTATAAATATATTGTAATATTCTACTACTGGAAAAGTTCTCTATGAACTTTTCTATAAACTAGATTATAAATTCTGGGATGAGTAAATCTTATCTTGATTTTGTCCTATTAAAGGGCAGTGTATAATACCAGTTAAAGATATGGATATTCAACTTTTCCTCCTACTATGATAGACAAGCTATTATCAACACAACTCTCTCTGCTCCCATGAAACAGCAACAAAAGATGATGAGACAGAGAGGGAGATATGTAGACAGACAGATAAAAATCTGTTAAAATGTTGAATATTTATCCATACAGGGATGACTTGAGGACCTAATACTTACAAGAGATCATAAGCCTGGCATTTATTTATGCTTTTCCCTTCGAGGCATTTGATGACTAGCCGGCCTTGATGTTTTGGCTTGAGTTTTGACTTTCTCCAAAGGTGAAACAAACAAAAGCTGGTGTTTAAGGCACACCACGAAGGAGGAACCGTGCTAAAGACCCAGGATGTCAAGTGGGCTATTTGAAAGGTTGCAAACTATGAAAAGGGACGAACCAAAACAGCACAACCAAAAGGGATTACCACTCCTCATCCCCACACACAAAATAAAGAACAGAAACCAACTACCAAATGAACAAAACACTATTTTTATTAAAATTACTTACTCCTAGTGTAACTGATTGCCAGAAACAAGGGAAAATCTTTTCTGCAAGGAGTTTTTTGGACCTTGAGCTTTTCAGGAAGGTGCTGTGCCGCTGAGCTACATCCCCGGCCTCCATAAGAAGTTAACAAAATCTAGACACTCAAATTTTCTCTAAAGTTTTTTCATAAGGAATATCTGACATGACATCTGAAATTACCAGGCATAACAAAAGAAAAAACTCAATGACTAAAGACCAAGAAAAAAAGACAGTAGAATCAGATCTATAGTAGATAAAATATTGTAGTTATTATGAATGGATCTTAATAAAACTGTAATTACTATGTTTAAGAAAATTAAGGATAAAATTAATGTCAGCAGAGAACATGAATTTTTTAAACAAACAAATGGAAACTGTAATACTGAAAAATACAGCATCTGGGGCTTAGAACACAATAGGCAGCTTTAAAAGTCTAATAAGATAAAGCTGAAAAAGAGTAGAAACTAAGTATATACAGGTACAAATAATGTACACAAGACTAGAGAGACTATAGGATGGAAAACAAAGAAAATACAGGTGACATGTGAGGAAAAATAAAGAAGGTGAACAGATGTATAATCCAGGCCACTGAAGAAAGGAAAATAATGTGGGAAAAAAATAATACATGAAAAGATATTTAAGAATTTTCAAAAATCAATGAGGAAAAAAATCAAATCAAAAACAAGAAACACTTCCAACTCGAAACAAAAAAAGTAAAATTAAAGTGATATCTAAGTCAAATTGTTGAAAAACAAAATACAAAGAGAAAACATATAAAAGTAGTGAAAAATAAATGACTAATAGGGCTAATCACTCAACAGAAATAACAGAAACAGAACATAGTAGGACATCTTCAAACTGCTTCACAGAGTCTATTTTAATAGCTATACCCAGTGAAAATAGCCTCTCAAAATGAAAGAGATATTCAAAATGTTTTCCCATTGGCAACAGATTCATAATTCAGGGAGAGTTCCAGATAGAAGGAATTCCATCATTTTCAGATGAAAACTAGCAGATAACAGAAGAAAGAAAGGGGAATAGGAAAAGTAAATATGTGAGTGACTAAATGAAGGTTGTCTTTATAAAAGAATAATAATAGTAATATGAAGTGTAAAGTACAGGATAAATCAATGTATAGAAACAGTAAAAAATGCAAGTGAATGAGAGACAATAAAAGGAGTTAGCAGAATTTAAGATATGGGCCCTGTTAAAAGTACTAATTCTAGTGCTATTAGAACTTTAATAAAGTACTGATGTGAATAATTTAGAGTAACCCCTGCAAGATTAGTCAAAGAATGTTTAACTAAAAAGCTAAAAAAGATAAAATGCTATAAAGACATGTATCCAAGGAAATGGCAAGAAAAAAAAGAAAAAGAAACTGAACTATAAAAAAAAAACTGAAGAAGTGGAACAAATAGATATCAAATATTAAAGCATTCGGGCCGGGGATTTAGCTCAGTGGTTTCGTCACCTGCTGCGCAAGCACAAGGACCCAAGTTCAATCCCTGGTACCAAAAAAAAAAAAAAAAAAAAAATTAAAGGATTCAATTTAAATCCAAATATTTTATATTTATATTATATTATAAATGTACTAAATATTCAATTAGAAGATAAGGTTGTCAGAATAATTAAAGGAAATACCATGTGTGTACTAATTATATAGATATAGGTACATATATAGGTACAGATACAGATATATATATATATACTTGTGTAATTATTCTAAGTACCAATGCACATGGTAATATAGCATCAAAATACATAAATCAATATTGATAAAATTAAAAGAAGAAAAATGTAAATTTCTCATAATTATTTTGGAAGAATAATAACTAATGAATAACTAATGAAATAACTAATGATAATAATAACCAATAATAATAATAATAATAACCAAATAATAATAATAACCAAATAACTAATGAAAAAAACAGACAAAAATAATCCAGAAACCAGAAGGTCTAAACAACTGATTATTCAACTTCACTTAATCTCTTCATCTACTTGATATTTTAAGCCTTTACTCAATAAATTCAAAATACACACACTTTTCAAGAGTCAATCAACCTTTGTAAAAATCTGCCAAATGGTGAATCTTAAAGAACAGTAAAGTTTCAACAAATCTCGTAAGA